GTGTGCTTGAGCTAAATTGCTGCTTTGTTGCTGTTTCCCTAGGGAAGGATTTTGTGCAGTTCAGGGTTTAATGGTTGGCCTTTTAGGTACTTCTGGCTCTCCAGAGACCTGGTGCACCTGGGTTGTGTAGAAACTTTGATCTGGGCCTGAGTCTTCTCTTCAAACTGCACCCCATGCAATTCTATATTCCTGACCAGTCTCCTCTGAGTGGTCCTGCACTGACTCAAGGGAGGATTGGCTGTCCTTGCTGTGTCCCAGTGTTCTTTCAGTGGGCCCATCTCCCCCACCACATGTGCTCCAAACACTTCCCATGTGATGGACCCTGTGCTGGTCCCTTGCAGTGACTCTCCAGCTTCTGAGTGGTTCCCGCTTTTACAGCTGTTCTGGCTTCTTGCTCCTGCATGGGTCCAGTGGAGCCCTATTAGTGGTCTTGCTGTCCTGAGGACCACCAATGTCCTCTTCTCCCCTGCTGCCTCTAAGCAACTCCATCCAAAAGGCACAGCTGTGGCTTCTGCTGCCGCCTGCTCCATGCTCTCAGCAGCTCCAGCCTTAAAGCTGCTGTGGCCAGAAATGCTATGAATGGTTTTTTCTTTCTCTCATCATGGCTTCTCCTGCCTTCACAAACTCTGTACGTCTCTCCTCCTCTTCCCCTGAGCTCCCCCAGCCCTAGCTTGGCTGTTGTTACATTTTTCTAGTTGTAAATTAGTTGATTTCTGAGAGAGAGGGATGCTGGGAACCATCCATTCTGGCATCTTAACTGGGACCCAATTTTTTCATACTTTAAAATGCATGTATAAAATAGATATGGGTCTGTAAAGGCTATACCAGGCCCCCATTTGAATTTCTCCACTACTGCCACAACGTCTCAAGTTGTCAAACAAACATCTAAAAAAAAAATCAGAATTCCACATCTGTGGAATAGAGACTAGTCTATTGCCTGGTCGGAGACCAGTCTTAATCTAACGAGGACTGATCTCCTGGTAGCAGTAGCAGTACTCCATGCAGGGTACATTTTTAAAAATTTCTCATTTGTTTCCTAATGTAAAGCCCCAGAGTATGCTGGGAAATGTAGTCTCACTGACCACTAACGGAACAGGCACAGGAGTATAGAAGGGCTTTGTGTTTCTTCTGCGCATGTGAGTCCTCGCTTACCTTGCTATCTGGGAAATGTAGTTATGCCTTCAAATGACGTCACCCTCACAGGAGTCCTATGGGACAGGATTTTCAGGGTTTCTACTGCGCATGTGCGGCTCTGCCCGCTCCACCATCTTTTGTGTGGAGATTCCAGATGCTGTCCCTGTCTTCAAGGTGCTCCTCAAATCCTGGGGTTGGGTTATTTGTCCCTGAAGGTGGGTCCGAGGGTGAAAGAGCAGCCCACGGGCCTCGGGGGCCCTGAGGAGAGGGACGGCGTCCGGGCACTTGGGGGCAGAAGCGCCGCGGGCCTCGGGTGGGCGGGGCCTGACGTGTGGCGCGAGCGCGGACCTGGGCCGGGGAAGGGGAGCCCAGGCAGCGCTTTCCAGACGGTTCCATCAGAGAACGGCACTGCAAGGTGTTCAGAAGCCGGTTCCAGATGTCCCAGGACGGGGGCTCAGGTCCCAGGTGGCCATGGGAGTGTGGGTGGGGGCGTGTGAACATGTTACCAGATAGAGGACCCGCTGCCCTCCACTTTGAAAAGGAAAGAAAAAAGCTCAGCATTCAAATGGTGGGTGTTAGAAGAGCAGGTGTATTCAGCTGAAGGAGAGGGCAGCTACCCCATCTCAAAGATTCCATTTACTGAGAGGTTTTTAAAGGAAAGTGTGAAGTAATGGAATGTGGGAGGTGAAAAGCAGGAGAGCAGGAGACGTGAGCTACGAGGGGTCCATGTCTATGCGTCAGGTACAAGGTCCTGCCAAGGCCTCATCTGGTTTCTGTTCTCATCTTCACTGTTATCTCAGGACACTGCAAGACTTTGCTTTGCACCGGTGCGCTAGGCTAGTGCCCAAGGTCAGCTTCCAGTCATTTGGCCTTGATCACTTCTCAAAACTCTACAAATCTCAAAGAAAGAACTGTTAGCTTTGCAAAGTACAATTAGCTTCTCAGCCTTGTTTTCCTACGTAGCAAGCGAGATAAGAAAGTCAAGGGATGGGAAGCAAGAGTGGAGAGAGAAAAACTGTCCTTTTAAAAATCCTCCCTGCCCTGCATCCCAGGCAGCTTTACTGCCCAACATGGCTTCAGTCCTACTCACACTAACAAAGACAGTGAGCCTGGGAGGTGTGCAGGAGGTCACATTCCAGTTCCACCATCCAGAAACCTGGTACGGACCTATGGGACATTGACTTTACCCATCTGTAACATAAGCATGTTGATTTTAGTGTAGTGCCCCCAGATTTCCAGAGAAATAACTGTGAGTGTGTGCAGACAGAGTGTTACTCTGTGGAAGTTGTGTTGTGGGGTTTCTTGGTGTCTCTTCAGGTCAAGTTTCTGGTCCCCCCTGCACTGTGTAGTCTGCCTAGCACTCCTGGTCTGTGTTTACAGACACTGATATAAGACCAAGTTTTCAGGGACAGTGACTTCTAGGAGGGACATGGGATGACAATCTGGTTTTCTTTGGGGTACAGGAGCTATGACAGAGTTTGAAGGAGGGCACCCTATGAATATGAATAGGAATCTCACCTGGGAGAACATCACTGTGGCCTGAACCCTCTCAGGACTGCTTCAGAGCAAAGGCAAAAGAGTCCCAGAAAGGCGCAGCTTTCACAGCCCACCCAGTTACTCAGTCCAGTGCTTACAGTGCACAGGACTTGGACGATAATATCTCATTCAGTAGCTACCTGAGACTGGGTGACATTGGAAGGTTTAGGCCAACTTTCAAATGTGAGAGTGAGTTTGAGAAGAATAGGCAAAGACCCAGGAAATGTTAGTCACTGAAGAGGTTCAAAGGTTTTCTGTGGGGTGCAGGAATAACCTGTCACAGCTGAGAGGATCTGTCTGCAGTGCTCTCTGAACACACTCCCATTCCTTCAGTTTTCCCTCATTGTTCCAAGTGTCTGAGCTCTCTCAAACCCAGCCTATCACCAATTTTGGCATCTCGAGATAGACTGATGGTTTTATATCTTCATAGTTTCTTTCTGGTAGTTCAGGAATATTTTGCGAGGTATGTCTATCTTGGAAGAAAAGTGAAAATAATTAGATATGAGGGAATGTGGGTTGCCCAGGGTCACATGATTTGTTGATCTTATATATCCTGACTTTTTGCCTGTTCTCCATTTTGCCACACTTCCATCAAAACAACTGTTTGTTCACTTTGAGATTCCTTCTGTAATGCTGAAGTGAACTTAAAAGAATGTATGCTTTAACATACATTGCCTTACACAGCCTTCTCATTTTTTGATCTCCGTTGCTTTGTTTGGATCATGTCACCACAAAGAGTAAATAACAAGTACTTCCTTTAATGTCAGTATTCTGTTCTCGAAAATCACAAATTTTGCCGATATATATTTAGCAGTCAATTTTACATTACTTAAATGGGAAAATTAGAATACTAGTGTGCTTCAAACACTTCATGGACAGATCCCTATTTTCTTTTAATTATATTTTTCCATGAACTTTTGAAAGTACTCTGGTACAGTTCACTACTAACTTATAAGAAACAGACACTTTTTATGTTTTTAAAGTAAACAACTTCTACATGATATTAAACAAAACAAAAAACCAGAAAATCTTGCACCATAGTTTACTGTTGTGCAAGCAATTGGTTTTATTGGTTCACGTAGCCTGCATTAGCGCCAGGAACCTCAATGAAGTCCTCTTAATTGACATTCATTGTAATTTTCAAAACTTGTCCCTGTGGTTGTGATTGTATTTGACATATAATTTAAGGTTTTCTTTCACACATAGTTTTGTTCAAAACAAATTGAGTTCTGGGGGTTTAGCTTCCTTAGCATTTGCCATGTAAGGAACAAATCAAAACCCAAATGTCTTTTAAAACCTAGGCATTTTATTATGTTGAGGTTCTGTGAATCCATATTTTGGGTGTGTTTAGCTGGGCAGTTCGGCTTTAGTCACCTGGTGATCTGACTGAGGCCGGTTGGTTCATGATGGCTTCACTCACATATCCTGTGGTTTGTGCTGACTATTGTCTGGGCCCTGTGTCTCCAAAAGTGTAGCCCCAGGCTTCTTCACACTATGATTGTGTTTAAGAAGGCAATCACCAGTGGCCAGTACTTATCAAACATATTTGCATGACATTTGTTAATGTGCTGTTGGCGGAATCAAGTCACATAGCAAAGCCCAGTTCATTGTCAGAATATACTACATGAGGGTTTGGGTTCTGGGAGGTCCATCACTGAGTATTAGTACTGGAATAGTGTACCAAAAGAAATATACATAATGTACATTTTATTTTATTTTATTTTAAAAAGAGGACCGGGAAGAGGATCTTAACCCTTGACTTGGTGTTGTCAGCACCACATTCTCCTAGGAGAGCTAACCAGCCATCCCTATATAGGGACTGAACCCTTGGCCTTGGTTTCAGCATCACACTCTCCCAAGTGGGCCATGGGCTGGCCCCATAATGTACATTTTTTACCTATATGATCATGGGTAAAAGATGTTGGGTTGCATGGATGCATACTAAGCAGATAATTAGGTACATATAAATAAGATGTGTTGTCGTGGAAACACTTATCTGGTGTCATGGGTAGAGTCATTATATTAACATGAACGTAGTTAATATAGCCTAACTATATAGCATTAGTTTCAGCAATGACACAATGTGTTTTTCTTTGGTTTAAATGGTGAAGTTTTATTTTAGGTAATGTTGATTCTTGCTAAATCAGTAGGTAATGTACATTTTTATTAACTCCAAAAATAAATTGTGTGTCTAATGTGTACTAATTAATGTACTTGCAGATGCACATTTAATGGGTCTTTGTTGCAACTTATTGACCATAAAGGATTGTTGTCTCACAGGGTGGCTTCTTCTTTGTTCGTTTGTCTTTTTCAGCTAACTTGTAGAGAGTTTTGGGCAGGAGAATCTGGGGTCAAGCCACAACAGTTCTCTCCTTAATCCACTCCACTCCCTCCTCTTCCAGCTAAGCTGCCAGAGTGCACTGTGCATTTCCAAGACCAAGAAAAGATGGATAAATCTCTGGTGAGTTGTTTCTTTATTTATTCTTCATTTTTTTCACTGTATTATCTGGGTATTATAGGGAGCATGAATTAAAATGGAAATGTAGAAATGAGTAAACCTGAGCTTGAAGGAAATGTACATATGTAAGGTCAAGTTTGCATGTAGATATACCAAGATATAATAATTCAGAGTATCTAAGTTGACTAAAAATTTGTCTCTGGTCTTTCTAGTATCATGTCGAAAAGGCTGACACTTTTTTTTACATGATTGGAATGGAACCTGAGAAGAGAATATACCAAATTCTCATGGGATATGAGGATTTATTGGAACTAATTTTTTTGTTTGTTTGTTTTAAAAAGCTGACTGGTAAGGGGATCTTAACCGTTGACTTGGTGTTGTCAGCACCATGCTCTCCCAAGTGAGCTAACCAGCCATCCCTATATGAGGATCCAAACCCTTGGCCTTGGTGTAATCAGCACCAAACCCTCCCAAGTGAGCCATGGGCCAGCCCTGGCACTAAATTCTGAAATTCCACCTCTATTAGAATGTTTTTGACTGCCAACCTGGAAATAAACACATAGCTTTCCACAGTGGAAATGGTTAGTGAGTGTTAAGGCACATGTTGCTGAATACACAGCCTGTAAAGTTTCATGTAATTTAAGAATTTCTAACCCACATAATTTTGTTTAAATATATCAGGTTCTGGGGCTTACATGTATTATTTAGCATTTGCTATATAAGAACAAATCAAAATGCAATGGTTTCAAATATTTGACAATTTTATTTCCTTGAAGTTCTATGATTGACATGTTGAGTGTACTCAGCTGGGCAGTTTTCATGCTAGCGTTACCTGGATGGCAAACATAGCTCTAGTGACCTGGTGCTGTGATTGAGGCTGTTGGTTCAGAATGGCTTCACTTACAAGTCCTGTGGTTTGTGTATAGATTTGGAAGACTGTACTTGATTCCTGGATAAAACATGGAATTATCACTTAAATTACAGTGAAATCCAATGCCTATTCTGTAGTCTTTTTCTAACTTGAATCTTCTGCCACATTTGAAGCTGTTGTTCATGATCTTCTCATGGAAATTCTTCTGTGTTTGTTAGTTTCTCTCATGCCATTACTGATGGTTTTCTCTCTTCTGAATTCTTCTTCTAAACATTGCTTATCACAGGGCTTCATTCTGAGTGCTGTTCTTCTCTCTGTGCTCTTCTTCTTGACTGATTCAGTCCTTTGTAGTTTGCACTCTTGGTTTACTTTAGCTTCTTCCCTTTTCTACTTCTCTTTTCCTTGGGTCATAGGTTTAACTCGCTGTTGACTGCTTTTTGTAGCTATCCAAAAGGTCAATGTATCCAAAATGAAAATTATATCTACTTCTTTTCTCTTACATGTGGTATCACTATGATCTATGCAGTGACTCAAGCCAGTGAAATGGGATGTTTCCTGGACTCTTCCCTGTTTCTTGTGTCTAATCCTTTGTGGTGTCAATTCTTGCTACTTTTGTTTGCTTGTTGTTTTCATTTAATCAGATTTCTGTATACACTGCCTGTATGGGGGAGGAGGTGTTGGTACTTACAAAGAGAATAACTTTGTTCCATTGGAAATATTCTTGTAAAACCCTGAAGGGCAAGTTTCCTGGGTGATGAGGTTCAATCCATGGTGACCTGTGCTTCTAACAAGCACCTGTTGTGACATCCTTAAGAGTGTGAGAGGAGAAAGCCTTCAGAAGTTAGTGGGACATTGATGAAGAGCCAATAAAAAGACATGCAAAGAATAACAGAAATTGCAGATTTTCATAATTTGTACACTTTGCTTTGATAAATTTATGTCAGTGATTCTATGTGCAGTTTTTCTTACTGTACAGTTTTCTGTTTCTAGTTCAAGAAGACTTGTCATGTTTTTAAACTTTCCTACATATTGTATTTTATTCCTCTCCTACTTCAGGTAATCACTTAGAAATGAATGAGAAGAATGGATGTGTGCGTTAGTCATCAGTATGTTTATAAACTAGAACCATAGCTAACAGTCAGTTAAGAAAGAAAAGTGACAAAATAGTTAACTGAAGGTTGACATTCTCAGAGTATGATGTGTAACATAAGATGTTAAATGCTGGCTTTATTTTGGACCTAATGTTCAATGTTCACCTACATGCTTCCTGTTGCATATCAGAATACTGTCTGTGGTCTCTAATGACATGTTTGGTGTTCCAGTGGTCAGCTGTGTAACAAAGTGATACAAAACCAAGTTGCTTAGAATAAGAATTTCTTCCTTACTCCATGTTGGAATGTTGTGGGTAAGACTGTAAATGCGCAGTGTGGATTGACTGCTGCATGATGTGTCTGGTCTCACATGGAAGAACACTAGTGGATGGGGACATTGGGCAGACATCCAGCCCTCTCTTTGTGGCCAGGTGAGCTTCCTCAGAGTCTGGCAGTCTCAGGGTAGTCAGGTTTGTCTGGCTTATCCCAGGACAAGTGTCTGAGAGGCACATGAGGTGGCTGTAAGGCATCTTGTTATCTATACTCAGATACAAAAGCATGTCTCCTAACCCATTTTGTTAGTCAAGCATATCACTAAGAGCATCCCTGGTTCAAAAGGAAGACAATTAGATTCCATCTCTCAATAACAGGAATAGTAAGACTCTGCAGCAGTCTTTAATAGACCAGTTTGCTCTCTGGCCACAAGTTTCTACCACATGCAAAATGTATTTTCCCCTCTCAAGAGCCCTAGAAATCTTCTATAGTTCGACAAATGACTGAAAGCCCAAGTAGATCAAGTCCAGTGACTTGTTATCTTCATCTCCTTAACATGTGGCCAGCTCACATTGAGGATAATGGTATAAGCATGTGGGCACTTCCCTTTAGACATAGTGGGTGGTAAGGGTCAGTAACCTGCAGGCACTTTTTTGAGCAGTAGGTTATGCACATTGGGCACCCAGTTCTTTGATTAGGGCCCTGCGTTTGTCTCTGGAAACAATGTCTCCTACTTCTACACTGTGCCCTCTGGGCTCTCACTATTCTCTGTCAAAATCCATTTTTCTTAAATGCCTGTTTGCAGTTGACCAATTTCTTTGCCTATTTTTAGGTTATAATAGTTGAAAATTTAATGACCCTTTAAAAATTTTTTCTCTAATTATGCTCTCTTGATACAGGAAATTACCCTTGTACATCTCTAAAAAACACGGGTTTCCATTGTACTATAATCCATTATACAAATGCTACCTCTGTGTTAGGCCCTTTTTTTCCTGACCTCGCTTTCTCTCTGAGGCAGCTATTTCTTAAGGAGTTTTATTTATCAGGCACTGTCTGTATCACACCCTATGGTACTTAGAATACTGGAAATATTTTTTTTTTAAACAAAACACTGTAATTCTTGAAACAAAGTAGTTTGTGTCTTTGAAAATATTTTGTTGGCAAAAACTTGGGTTGAAAAGTAGTTTTCTTTTAAACTCAGCAAGTTTTGGCTCCTTTACATTTTCTTTAAATTTTGTTTGAATTTGAACATCTTTCTTTGTTTTATTGTTACTTATTTATTTACTGATGGCCTATGTGGGGTTCCAAACCCTTGACCTTGGTGTTATCAAAACTGGGCCCTAACCATCTTATTGATCTGGCCACTCAACCTCCTATAATTTATCTCTCTTCTCCTATTTTCTCAGTGGCAGAGAGAGGAGACCAGCTAGCAGTTTTCCTGTTGTTCACAGAAGTCTGCTTCAGCAGACCCCTGAGAGGTTGAGATTTCCTTTCCATTTTCCATGCTATCATAGGCAATATTGTGGCCCACATCCTTCAGTGCTCCATTTATTTCTTGTAATATATTTTGTGCTGAAGCTTCTTTTGGCTAGTATTAATATTTCCACTCAAGCTTTTCATAATTAGAGTTTGTGTAGTACTTTTAATTTAACTTTGTTTTTTAACTTTCAGTCTGTTTGTGTCTTTGTATTTAAAGTGTATGTCTCTGGACAGCATATTACTGGGTCTTAACTTTTCCATCAAATCTGATAGTTTTTGCCTTAGGTAAAATATTTAGACTAATTCCATTTAATCTACCTATTAAAAGGGTAGATTTAGGTCTGCCATTTTGCTATTTTTCTTTGTTGTTGTTGTCTCATCTACATTTTAGTCCTTTGCTTTTTCTTTTCCCTAAGTTTTTTTTTTGTTGTTAATCAAATATTTTAAAATATTTTAATTTGTTCCATCTATTGGTTTTTAAAATATTTATTTTAATTTTACTTTTCATAAAGAAAAATACACATAACAAAAAATTTAGCATTGGAATCATTTTTTACTTTTAGGTAGTATTATGTAGACTTATAGTGTTGAACAGGAGATGGCCAGAACTTTTTTTATTTTGGAATATTGAAGCTCTATATCCATTAAATGACAGCTTTCAATATTCCCCTCCTTGTAGCTTCTGACACCTGATATTCCAGTTTTGTTTCTCAAAATTTCACTCATATCAGTGGGACCGTACAATACTTGTGATTTTGTGAGTGGCTTATTTCACTTTGCATAGTGTCCTCACTGTTCCTTGTTATAACATATGTCAAGGTTTCATTTCTTTTTATGGCCAAATAATATCCTTTGTGTGTATATACCACAAGTTCTTTATCCACTCATTCTTGGATGGATGTTTGGAATGCTTGCACCACTTCACTATGTGACTAATGCTGCTATGAACATTGGTGTTCATATCTTTTGGAAATATCTTTTGGAAATTTAGCTGTTAATTATTTTGGATATATACATCGAACTTGGACTTCTGAATCACACGGTAATATCATTTTAAATTTTTTGAGAAGCCAGTATATATATTTTTTAGATGGTACAGGGTCTGCACCATTTTATATTGCCACCCACAGCACACTAAAGTTCCAATATCACTGAAAGCTGTTATTCTGTATTGAGTGTGAAGCAATATTTCATTATGGTTTTGCATTTTCTAATGTTTAATTGTGTATGGCATCATATTGTGTGTTTGTTAGACACTGGTAAATCATTGTTGGAGAAATGTCTATTCAATTTCTTTGCTATTGTTTTCTTGGGGGGGGGTGGAGTGGCTGCCTGGCATGGGGAACTGAACCTTTGAACTTGGTGTTAGAATTCTGTCTCTAATCAATGGAAGTAACCAGTCAGCCACCTTCTTTGCTTGTTTTTTAAACAGGTTATTTGTATTGTTGTGTAGCTGTGGAACATTTTTTCATTGTGTATTCCTGATGATAATTTCTTCTGCCATAGGTGATTTGCAACTATTGTATTTTTTGAGGTGCTGAAAAATAGTATTGTGTTTTTTATTTAAGATTCTACTTGGTCATTGCTGGTATGTTGAGACGTGATACAATTTTGTTTATTATTAACCTTGTGTCCTGCAATCTTGCTGCATTCACTTATTAATTCCAGGAGTTTTTTAGTTTATTTACTAGAATTTTTACACAGATACTCATATCACCTGCAACCAAAGACAATTTTATTGATTTATTTTTCCCAGTCTGTAATCTTTTATTTCATTTTCTTCTGTTATTGAAGTATGAAGTACTTTAGTGCGATGTCGTGAGTGGTGAGGGGGCCCATTATTTCCTTGTTCCTGACTTTCTGGAAAAGCTTTGAGTATTTCACCGTGAATAATAATGTTAACTACAGTTTTCTATAGATGTTGTTCTCCCCAACTCATTCCGAGCAAACATCACCCTGATCCCAAAAGCAGATAAAGACACCACCAAAAAAGAAAACTATAGGCCAATATATGTGATGAATATACATGGGAAAACCATTGATAAAATATTCACAAGTAGAATACAGCAACACATACAAAAAGTTAGACATCACAATCAAGTAGGATTCATCACAGGGATTCAAGAATAATTCAACATACACAAGTCAATAAATGCGATACACTCCATCAACAAAATCAGGGAGAAAAACTATATGATTATCTGAACAGACATTGAAGAAACATTTGACAAAACTCAACATCACTTCGTGGTAAAGAGTGTCAGCAAATTAAGTATAGAAGGAAAGTATCTCAACATGATAAAAGCCATATATGACAAACCTAATGTCATTGTCATTCTGAATGGGGAGAAGTTGAATGCTTTTCCTTAAGAATGGGAACAAGAGAAGGATATCTACCCTCAGCTCTTATTTAACATAGTATAGGAAGTAGTAGCCACAGTAATCAGGCAAGAGAAAGAAAGCAAGGGCATCCCAAACAGAAAAGAGAAAAATTATCCCTGTTTGCAGGCATAATTATTCTATATACAGAAAAGTGTAAAAAGCCTCCAAAGAAACTCTTAGATTCATTAAACAATTTCAGTAAAGCAGCAGGATACATCAACATGCAAAAATCACAAGTGTTTTTGAAGTAGCAGGAAAAAAAGTCTAGACAGCTATATTCCATTTATGGTAGTCACCCCCAAAATAAAATATCTTGGAATACAGTCCACAAAGGATGTGAAAGATCTCAACAATGGAATCTTCAAATCACTGTTGAAAGAAATGAAAGAAGACAACAAAAAGTGGAAAGATATTCCAGGCTCTTGGATTGGAAAGAATGGATTAAAAACTTAAATATAAGACTTGAAACTATAAAATTCCTAAAAGAAATTATAGTGGAAACACTTCTGGAAGTAAGACTGGGCAAAGACTTTATGAATATAATCCCCACAACATAGGCAACAAAAGAAAAACCAAATGGGATTATATCAAATTGAAAAGCTGCTGCAGAACACAAGAAACAACAGAGAAAAAGAACAACCTACAAAGTGGGAGAAATCATTTGTAAACTATGCATCTGATGAAGGATTAATATCCAGAATATACAAGTAACTCAAACAACTTAAATGTAGAATAACGAATAGTCTGATTTTAAAAATGGGCCAATGGGCTGAATAGGCCTTTCCAAAAGGAAGATATACAAATGGCCAACAGATACAGGAGAAAATGCTCAGCATCACTCAGCATCCAGAAAGTGTAAATCAAAGCCACATTGAAATATCATATCATTCCAGTTAGACTGGCTACTATCAAAAAGGCAGAGAATAACAAATGCTGGTGAGTGCAGAGAAAGAGGAACCTTCCTGTACTGTTGGTGGGACTGTAAATTGGTGCAGCCATTATCAAAAACCATCTGGAGGTTCCTCAAGCAACTACAGATAGAACTGCCAGACTCAGCAATCCCACTGCTGGGTAAACATTTAAAGGATTGCAAATAATCATAAAGAAGGGACACCTGTACTCCCATGTTTATTGCAGCTGTATTTAGAGTAGGCAAGAGTTGGAATCAACCTAAATATCCATTATCAGAAGGCTGGATAAGGAAAATGTGCTATATTTATACAATGGAATACTACTCTGCCTTTAAAAAGCATGAAATATTACCATTCACATCAATATGGACGAACTTAGAAAAAATTATGTTAAGGAGAATAAGCCAGGTACAGAAAGAAAAATTTTGCATGTTCTCACTTATACGTGACAGCTAAGAAAATAAATGACTTGAAAATTAAATAAAAGAAATATACAACAGTCACAATATTGTTCTTCAGGTAACATTGAAATTTTGATATTTCCCTGCCTTGGACTGAACGTCTCCCCCAAACTTGACCCCCTTACTGACAGTGTTAGGATATTGAGTAATCCAATTATGGTAGTTGATAGATGGGGCGTTAATGATGTGATTAAATTTTCAGACCATACCATAATGAATGGGTTAATAGTGGTGGGCAGGGATGTGGTTCTGAGAGCTTTAAAAGAACACATGAGAGGTTGACCTCTCTCTGCTCTATCATTTTCTGCCATGTGAGACCCCTGGGTCACTGTTATCTCCACCAAATTCTTCATCAGCTGAGTCTCCTGGACTCCCCAGCTTTGGATCTGCAAGCAGTAAATTTCATTTTCTAACAAATCACCCAGTTCCAAGTATTTTGTTATGAGCCACAGAAATGGACTAATACATTTCCAAATCTTTATCTTCAGCTTAGATCTCTTGAACTCTGGAATCATGTATCCAATTGCAAATTGGACATTCCCTCAGATATTTCAAGTATAATGTATTCAAGTTTGTTTTATTTCTACCCATTCTACTTTTCTGTCATTCTAAAAGCTACACTTTACAGTACCAGCACCTAATTAGCTGTAATTATGTAGAGAGCTTGAGAGTAAAACACTTTTATTTTCTGCACAGGAATTTAGTACCACAGTGTCCTCCTGCTTTTTGTTTCTGTATCACTTTCCTTTTCTGTATGCTTCTTACCTGTTACTTATTTATTTATTTTCTATTGGTTGGCCTGTATGGGGATCTGAACCTGTGACCTTAGTGTTAACAGAAACATGCTCTTTCAAGTGAACTAGCTAACCAGCCTTGCTCTCTGTTCTAATGCAGCTGGCATTCAACCACCCTGTTTTCTTCTGCTCTGATTCTCTCTAGAGCTTTTTCTATTCTCCTTCTCATGGATGACTATTAAATTGTAAATCTAGAATGTAACTGATTTGTATTTACAAAACCACATTATTTACACTCTATGTTTAGAAAGTGGCAGTGTTCACTCTTATGCAGATACAAGCAATCCTTTGGCATGTGGGAAGGAAATTTTGGAGTGCCTTTGTATATGCTTTCAGTTTACAAGTATTTAAAAAACAGTAATTGCATATACTGTTTCCCTTTTTGAAATAGAAAAATATTTAAATGCAGAAGCATTCCATAATGTGTTTCTTTAATAGTGTGTGTATCTGTTATCACCACCCATGGGCTTTCACATAGACATGGTGCCATGTGTAGTTCCATTAATGTTGGGTTTCTCCCTTTGCTCTTGTGACTGCAGTTTTACTTTTAAAAGCATATACAACAAAATGATAGTGGGGCATTCTGCAACAACACTGAGCTTTAGAAAATGGTATTAAGGTCCATTGCCTCATACTCATAAGAACATGTGCTTCACATGGAAGAGCTTATCTTTGGCATTTCAGTGGTGTGCAAACAGAATGCAACATAGAAATGTATTTTGTCTTTCTTTCCCCATTCTCTATTGAACTTCTGTCAAAATTTGTTAATCCGGCACACTGGTTCAGGTATGTATTTATACTTATGTTTTCAAACCTGGTTATAAACTTCTTGGAGAAGGAGGATTTTATTCATACTTTTATAACTAACAAGAAGAGTGTTTCATAGGTATAAGGTAAGCTTTGTAATCATATTTTTAGTAATTAATGTATTATTAAGGTAACAGGATTATTCCTGTTGGATTTTTTCCCTCCACTATATGGGGAATAGAAAAGCAGCACCTTATTTAACACATAAGACACATCCTCACACAGAAGTGTGAAGACTGAGATTCCTACTTTGTGACCCAGGGCTGGTGGCTTGAATTGAGATCAATATGCCATTACAGGGGTTGGTGTCACTTGAGGATGTGGCTGTGGACTTTACCTGGGAGGAGTGGAGGGACTTGAATGATGCTCAGAAGACTTTGTACAGGGATGTGATGCTGGAGACCTACAGCAGCCTGGTGTCATTGGGTGAGTGAAACACCCCAGTAATTTTGAGGAGAAACATTTTGTTATTTTTTTATAAAAATAGGAGTGTGTTATAGGGTTTTATACTATTTGGTAAAATTACATTTCATGAAAAACATGTCATCCCCATCTAACAAAAGTTCCCAACTGGCCTCTTTATTGTGTAATTTCTGGAGCTGAGTTCTTGTCATTCTTCCAAGGATCTGGCTTTGCAGTTTTATAAAGTCCTATATTACCTCCCATTAACAGGGTGCTGCATTAGTAAACCTGAGGTGATCCTCAAGTTGGAGAAAGGAGCAGAGCCATGGATAATAAAAGAACACCCAAACCAGAGCCTCCCAGGTTAGTAAGCACATCCTGGGCAGAGTCCAGGAAGAATAAAACCCAGCTGATCTTGACTGTGTTCAGCTGTTTCTAGCAATATTGCCACAGGTCCATGAGCTGAGGCTGGCTCATCTCCTTGCATCAAACACATGTATTATATAATCTCTCAGATGGACTCATACATATACCTCTCCATATTTATTTTGCTGTATTTTAACAATGTATTTTCCTAAAATATAATCCCTACATTTCTCTTCTTTGACATTTATGTTTGCTATTCGCTTTTTCAGTATTCTCTTTTGCCCTCATGTCCTACACTCTCATGGACATGGTTTTTCAGACTCTTTCCTTTTGTGTTTCTTAAAACAGAATATCTGTAACTGGGTAATTTATGAAGAAACAAACTCTATGTCTTACTGTTCTATTCTGGAGGCTGAGCATTTCAAGGTCTAGGAGCTGCATGTGGTGCTGGCCTTGTTTTTGTTGGTGATTCTTGGCAGAATCCCAAAGTGGTGTAGGATATCACATAGGAAGTTGATAAGAAAAGAAGAGGTCCCGGTATGCACCTTCTATACCAACACATCAGAAATTATGGACCTGAGACAGACTTAGCACAGGGCATAGAAAAGAAGAGTTCTAGATTTTATAAAAGAACCAGGAGACTCATGGTATGAAGGTCAAGTGAACCAAGGCTTTCAAGTTGAGGGTCTGAGATTGCTGTTTGGATGTGGAATTTGAAGTTACTATTCTCTTCTCTTTGTAGCTACCATTCTCAAACAACAAAGAAATTTAGAAATGTACAGGAGACTCTATTTTTTATGAGCATAATACACATCCAAAGCTCTAGTGCATAATACTAAAGCTTTTATGAGCAATGAATTATCAACTGGGAGTGTGTATTCCAGAGTTTGGGAAGATAAAACAGGTTGATTTTATAAGGAGTCAAAAGCACCTTTTCAAAGATGGTGGGCAAAGCCCTGGTTGGAGAACCAAATATTTTAGACCAGCAGGGTTTCTGTAGGGGTGGACTGAAGATTCCTGTAGAGTACTTTTTTTTTTTTTTCGTCCTTTTTGAGACCGGCCGCACGCATCCCTATATAGGATCCGAACCCGTGGCGGGAGCGCTGCTGCGCTCCCAGGCCGCACTCTCCCGAGTGCGCCACGGGCTTGGCCCGAGTAATGGTTTTTTGAAGCACAGGAAGTCAGATTAAGTGAGTAATTTGTGGGAAGCTCTGCTTAGGATGGGAAAAAGGACATTTTATTTGAAAAACTTCCACATGCCTATAGACACTTCCTAAGGAAGAGTAAAATGTATAGAAACATTAATGCAAAATTCTTAACCTAAGTCATTTTCCTCCACATATGATGATAAATTGGATCATTCTGCACTTGAAGGTAGCCAATGAAGGAAAACCTGGCCATATTCAAAGCAGAAGAATGAGAAGAAGACCTGCAGGAGATAACCAGTATTGTTATAAAAATAAAATAGGGTAAAAATTGTGGTAATAAAATAGAGTTTAAAAAGGGTAAGAAAACAAATGGAAGGTGATAAGCAATTATTTAAAATCTGCAATTAGGTAAAAGGTAAGAATTATCAAATATTTCATCATGAGTTAAAAACAAAGAAAGTGAGTAGAGAATCAAAGAAGAATGTAACATAATGTAAGAATATATTAATACAACACAACATTATGTTGGTATAAAGAAAACCCATATACTCCTGAAACCAATACCCATTATTGATTTTTATAAAATCTTTTATTACTTCAGTTGGGAAAAACTTCTCTACTTTACATGAGCATGCAATAAAGTATGCTTATGTGTGGTTCATGGATATGGGATTTTTTTTTTTGTCATTTCAGATGTCCATATAGTCAATGACCTAATTGAGAGGAGCCAAGAAAGTCATGGTAGATACTTGTGGCATGGTGTAATCATCAATGGTAACCAATCAACTGAGGAGAGAGTGGAGTTAGGAAAATCAGTGAATGCATATTCAATGGATACTTTAAATCTGGTTATAAATAATGAAAACTATTCAGGAGTGAGGCATGAAGAGTTTAACAAATGTCAGAATGCAGTTCTTCCAGAGACTGATGCCATGTGTGCTGGACAAAAAGCTTATGAGCATAATATATCTGAGGAATCACACAGTCATCGTGAGCATCTCAGTCAGCATTCTAAGATTTCAGCTGGGCAACTTTTTGAATATAGTGGAAACAGACTATCCTCCAATACATTGCCAATAATATTTGCATATAAGAAAATTCATATGGGTGAGACAACTTGTAAATATAGTGAATATGGGAAAGCCCATAATAAGTCATGTGTCATTGCCCAAGAGATAGCTCAGGTAGGGAAGAAAACTTTTCAATGTGTTGTATGCTTGAAAATATCCTATAAAAACGCTAGACTTACTCAAGATCAAATTATAAACACAGGAGAGGAGCATGATAAATACAGTGAGTGTCAGGAATCTTTTATTAAGCAATCACACCTACTCTCATATCAGGGAACATCTACAGGGAAAGCTTTTGTCCGAAAATCAGCCCTCAACAGGCATCAGAGAATTCACAAAAGTAAAACAACATATGAATGTAAGGAAAATTCAAAAGCTTTTAACCAAATGTCAGCCTTCAGCATGCATTGGAGAACTCACCCAGGTGATAAGCCATACAAATGTAATGGATGTAGAAAAACATTTAACAACAAGTTATCCTTCAGGATGCATCAGTGTGCTCCAACAGGGAAAACACCTTATGAATGTAAAGAATGTGGAAAAGCTTTTAAGCAAAAGTCGCACCTCAGTAGGCATCAGAGAATTCACACAGGTGAGAAACCATATGAATGTAAAGAATGTGGAAAAGCTTTTAAGCAAAAGTCGCACCTCAGTAGGCATCAGAGAATTCACACAGGTGAGAAACCATATGAATGTAGAGAATGTGGAAAAGCTTTTAGGCAAAAGTCACAACTCTGCAGGCATCAGAATATTCACACAGTTGAGAAACTATATGAGTGTAAGGAATGTGGAAAAGCTTTTAAGCAAAAGTCACAACTCTGCAGGCATCAGAGAATTCACACAGGTGAGAAACCATATGAATGCAAAGAATGCATAAAAGCTTTTAACCAAATGTCGTGCCTCAACAAGCATCAGAGAACTCACATGGGTGAGAAACCATATGAATGTAAAGAATGTGGAAAAGCTTTTAACCGAACGTCACACCTCAACAGGCATCAGAGAATTCACACAGGTGAGAAACCATATGAATGTAAAGAATGTGGAAAATCTTTTAACCAAACGTCACACCTCAGCAGGCATCAGAGAATTCACACAGGTGAGAAACCATATGAATGTAAAGAATGTGGAAAAGCTTTTAAGTTAAAGTCAAACCTCTGCAGGCATCAGAGAATTCACAGAGGCAAGACACTATATGAATGCAAAGAATGCGGAAAAGTTTTTAACCAAAAGTCGTGCCTCAACAAGCATCAGAGAACTCACATGGATGAGAAACCATATGAATGTAAAGAATGTGGAAAAGCTTTTAACCAAACGTCAGACCTCAACAAGCATCAGAGGATTCACACAGGTGAGAAACCATATGAATGTAAAGAATGTGGAAAAGCTTTTAACCAAACGTCACACCTCAACAGGCATCAGAGAATTCACATAGGTGAGAAACCATATGAATGTAAATAAAGTGGAAAAGCTTTTTGGTTAAAGTCACACATCTGCACGCATCAGAATCCACACAGGTAAGACATCATATGAATGCAAAGAATGTGGAAAAGATTTTAACCAAAAGTTGTGCCTCAGCAAGCATCAGAGTACTCGCTCAGTTGAGAAACCACATGAATGTAAATGATGTAGAAAAGCTTTTAAATGAAAGTCACACCTCAGACTGCATGAGAGCATTCACACAGCTGAGAAACCATATGAATGTAAAGAATGTGGAAAAGCTTTTAATTGAAAGTCACACCTCGGCAGGCATCAGTGAATTCACACAGGTGACAATCCATATGAATGTAAGGAATGTGGAACAGCTTTTAACCAAAGTCAACCTTCAGCATGCATTAGGGAATTCATACAGGTGAGAAGCCACGTGAATGTGAGATGTGGGAAAAGGTATTTTTACAACATCACAGTTGAGAAGAGATCAGGATACTCACACAGGAAAAAACTGCTTATCAATGTAATATGACAGGCCTTGTACTGGAATTCCCCCTAACAGACAAAAAAAAAAAAAATCCACACATAGGAAAATCTCAGTGAATGTAATTTGTATAGGAAAAGTTTTTGTGAGAAGTCATACCTCAAGACATCAGCGAATTTGCATCAAGAAGACCTATAAATATACAATTGTCCTCAGGTTTTGAAGAATGTCTTGAGGACCCCCCCCCCTAAAAATTTGCTAATGCTCAAGTCCCTTCTGTGAGTGGTGTAGTGTTTGTGTATTTCCAATTCACTTCCTGCTGTGTCCTTTACATCTTGTGTAGATTACTTATAATACTGGTAAAAATGTGAATACTATGTTAATTGTTGTTATACATTGTTGTTTTTCAGTTATTGAAGTGTTTCATTTATTGTTTTATTTATTTATTTATTTATTTTTTCCTTTTTTTGTCTTTTTCGTGACCGGCAACGGGATCGCAACCTTTGGTGTTTGCGCCCGCACCTCGCTCAGCCAGTGAGCGGCTGGTCTGTATGTGGGATCCGAACCTTCGGCGGGAGCGCCACCACGCTCCCAAGCAGTGCACTGTAGCAGTGCGCCGCCAGGCCAGCCATTGTTTTATTTATTTTTGAGGATTTTTGGTAAGTAGTTTCTTGAATCACCAGATGTGTAACCCTCAGTCATGGAAGGAGAAGTGTAATGAGTGTGAAAACATCTTTTTTTTTTTTTGTCTTTTTGTGACTGGTAAGGGGATCACAACCCTTGGCTTGGTGTCGCCCACACTGCGCTCAGCCAGTGAGCACACCGGACATTCCTATATAGGATCCGAACCCACGGCGGGAGTGCCACTGTGCTCCCAAGTGCTGCACTCTCCTGAGTGTGCCACGGGGCCAGTGCTGAAAACACCTTTTTTTCCAAAGTCTCAAGGCTGGCTACGGTTAGAACATTTTTGCTTATACCATTGGTGATCATAACACAAATGATCTTCACACCAGCCATGCACCGCAAAATAAATAAATAAAAATAAAAAGGAATCACATCATAGCAGATATTAGAGGATTTAAGGAGGGGAGAAATTCTATATGGATTGAACTGTGTCTTTTTAAAATAAAACCACTCTTCTCTTGTTTGCATAGCCTGCAATCTGAGCATTCCGTGATTGGGTGGATGACTGTATAATTTAACTCTGTCCAGGGGAATGTAGATATAAGTGGTGAACATTACTTCCATTTCAGGCAACAGAATAAAGAAAATTTTCCATTCAGTTGTTCCTAATTTCTCATGTTCTCTGCAACTGAATAAAGAATTTCTCATGTTCTCTGCAAGAAAATTTTCCATTCAGTTGTTCCTAATTTCTCATGTTCTCTGCAACTGAATAAAGATGACTCTTGGGTGGAGTTGGGGGCCACAGGTGAAAGAAATCCACCCTAATTTGAAATAGAAGAAATTGAAGAAATCAGGGATATTCTCACCACTATCCCAAATCGTCCATTTACACATAATATAAGAAATTATTTCCTGTTAAGCTATTTTATGTGTGCCCTGTTTGCACTACAACAGAAGCAGTGCACTCCAGCTAAATGATTTTATAAACTTTCTGAGAGAATTTACCAGTTCTTGTATATGGGAAGAGAATCCTGTGTTGTCACCATTTATACCCAAGTCAGTTTGTGGGAAAATCAAATTATGGGGAGAAAGAATGCAATAAATGTGAGACTTCTTATTGGGACAGCTCATTGAACAGTGAAAATAAAGTTAAATATCTTTCTAAGTCTCTTTAATGTGTCAAAGCTTTCAAGAAAACTTTAAACACTTTTTATGTTAGTTTGAAATGAAGAGAAAACTGCAATAAATGTAGATTTTCAAGTAGAAATGATAAATGGAGTGTAAAAGTATTTTTAACATTTTGAGTGTTACCAATATTTAAATGACTGGTGACACTGCCTTCCAGGGGACATTTGTCTGAAGACATTTTTGGTTGTCATAACTGAAGGTTGGGAGGTGCTACTCCATTGAGTGGGAAGAAAACAGATTGTGGTAAACAGCCTACAATGCAAAAGAAATCCACCTCACATGCAACATTTATGCATAAAAATGTTTGTTAAAAATTTTTCATAATGGAACCCAGCACAACTGTGGAGAAGGAATATGTACACTTAGTATAATAAATAGTTTGGTCTGACTTCCTTCAGGATTTTTGACATTAACTGCCACTCTAACTTCAGTATATTTTGTTAAATATATTGTCTAAAGTACTGCACTACATAGATTTTTTTTTTAATAAAAGTTGACCAGTAAGGAGATGTTAACCCTTGACTTGGTGTTGTCAGCATCATGCTCTCCCAAGTGAGCTAACCAGCCATCCCTATATAGGGATCCGAATCCATGGCCTTGGTATTACCAGTACCACACTCTCTCATGTGAGCCATGGGCCAGCCCAGATTTTTTCCTATTCTCCTATTTTAGGTCAATTTGTATAACCAGTATTACAAAACTATCTAAGTAAAGGTGATTTTTTATGATGTTTGAAGCTAATGCAAAGTGATTGTATGGGTTGAACAGAAACATTTCTACACGAATGCACAAATTCACAGGCAAATATTTGTAAACAACTTGTTTGAACTTATTTAAACAGCTGTGAACAGTAGTGGTCTTCTTATTTTACTCAGTGAAAAGCAGTGTCTGGAAGGGATACTTATCCTTTAAACCTATTCGTCATATTTTGAAATGGTGCCAAATCATAGGTATGAGTGTGTACCACATGCCGTGTAGCTAAGAAATCTTTTGTATTTCTATGGATGGAGTGCTATTTTGGATCTTGCCACTAAGAGGTAAATCCTGACTCTACTTGTGCATGGTCTTGTGCATGGCTGTGCTTGTGTGTAGGCTTCCAGACCTAGAGATGGGCCCAGAGCCTGTTTTCACCTAAGTAGTCTTCTTGAGTCTGTGGTGACTCCCTGTCTGCCCTCAGAGCCCTTGGTGTGGGGGAGACCCAGGCCCCAAAGAGGGGTATGAACAAGTAAGACAAAATGGTGTCCAGCATAGAAAGTGAGGGGTGTGGTTGGAGGAAGGGTCTCTGGGATCTTTTTGGGTAGGGAGGTCATTTCCATCTGCCACCATTCTGTCCCCAAATCTCTGGTAACTGTGGGCAGAGAATACAGCATCATCATTTATTTCTCTTTATTATTCTTTCTGTTTCGGTAGGTTTAAATTTCCTCTTTTATCTAGGTTTTTAGTTGGAAAATTAGGTTATTGATTTCAGAACTTTCCTTTCTAAAATGTATACCATTACAAACTTAAATTTTACTCTAATCCCTTTTTAAATTTTGGTATGTTGTGTTACTGTTTTCACTGTCAAAAAGTTTCAAATTTTAGTGTCATTTTCATGGCTCACTGGTAGTTTGGGAGTTTATTCTTTAACTTGCATGTAATTGTGAACTACTGAAGTATCATTCAATTAACAATTTTATGTTTAAATCTATTGTGGCAAGAGAACATACATTGTATAATTTCAATCCTCAAATTTATTGAAGATATTTTATGGTATCGCAAATGGTCTTTTCTGGAATATGTTCCAAAGGCTTGAATAGATTGAGTATTCTGTTGTTGGGTGTTGTGTCTATATATACATATCTGTAAATTCAAGTTGTTTTATAATGTTGTCCAAGACTTCTATACCCTTGTCTGTCTTATGCATAGGTGTTCTATCAAATATTGAAAGTTGCACTTGACATATCTGAATATTTCATAGAACAGTGTTTCACCCTTAATTTCTTCTACATTTTTATTTGATGTTGGACTTGTTTGTTTTGTGCATGTATACCTATAATTGTTATGGTGTCCTCATGGCTGACACTTCAGTCATCAATGACCCTCTTTTTTCCTAGTAACAATTTTGTTTATTTGGCATTAGTATGGTCAGCTGGCGTATCTGTGTTATGGTTATGTTTACATTGTATATCTTTTCCTGCCCATTAACTTTCTACCTGTTCATACAGTTGAATTCAATGTGTTTCTCTTGTGCTCAATATATAGTTTATTCTTTTCTTTTAATACTGTTGGAAAAGTCTTTAAAAATTTTTTTAATTTTGTTTTACTTGACAGATTATAATGGTATGTGTTTATGAGGTACAATTTGATGTTTCAACACATGTATACATTGTGAAATTATGAAATCAGGCTAACTCACATATTCATTATCTGACACACTGATTTCTTTGTGGTGAGAACATTTGAAATCCACTCTGTTACCAACTTTGAAATATACATTATTATTAACTCTATTCACCATGCTGTGCAATAGATCACCATAACTTTTTCCTTCTGCTGAAGTGAAACTTCATACTCTTGGACCAACACATCCCCACTGATATTTTACCCCATCCTAAACCTCAGTTGTGGTAAACTTTATTCTTCTCTCTGTTTGTATTAGTTTGACTTTTTAATAGTCCACATATAAGTAAAATTAAGTGGTACTTGTCTTTCTGTCCCTGGCTTATTTTATTTAACACAACATATTCTAGATTCTTCTATGTTGCCACAGTTGACAATTTGTTTCCTTTTTAATGTCTGAGTAGAATTTTATATGTAAACATTTATCCATTCATTGATTGATGAATGGTTCTGTAGTTTCGATATCTTGACTGTTGTGAATAATGGTGCCATAAACATGGGAGGGCTGACATCTCTTTCTCATACTGATGTCAGTTCGTTCAGACATACACCCAGAAGTGGGATTGCTGGATCATTTGGTAGTTTTACTTTTAGCTTTGTGACTACTTTATGCTACTTTCCCAATTGGTGTTCTAATATACCTTGTGTATTCACACCTTCGTGAATACTTATCTTTTATCTTTTTGATAATAGCTGTTCTAACGGGTCTGATGTGATCTCATCATAGTTTT